TAAATAACATACTCCATAAAAATAATCAAAATTTATCGAGCGAAATTTGAAATATAATTTTTTTCTTCTGAAATATCGGTAGCTCAGTAAGGAGCAGGACTATATTCTACCAACTATAGAAACCATCATAAGCATTGAATGGGCTTGCCATTTACGTATGACATGTGTATACGTCTAAATAACATACTCCATAAAAATAATGAAAATTTATCGAGCCAAATTTGAAATATAATTTTTTTATCTGAAAAAACCGTAGCCCAGTAAGGAGCAGGCCTATCTTCTACCACCTATAGAAACCATCATAAGCATTGAATGGGCTTGCTATTTAATTATGTCACGTGTATACTTGTAAATAACATACTCCATAAAAATAATCAAAATTTATCGAGCGAAATTTGAAATATAATTTTTTTCTTCTGAAAAATCGGTAGCTCAGTAAGGAGCAGGATTATCTTCTACCACCTATAGAAACCATCATAAGCATTGAATGGGCTTGCCATTTAATTATGTCACGTGTATACTTGTAAATAACATACTCCATAAAAATAATCAAAATTAATCGAGCGAAATTTGAAATATAATTTTTTTCTTCTGAAAAATCGGTAGCTCAGTAAGGAGCAGGACTATCTTCTACCAACTATAGAAACCATCATAAGCATTGAATGGGCTTGCCATTTAATTATGTCACGTGTATACTTGTAAATAACATACTCCATAAAAATAATCAAAATTTATCGAGCGAAATTTGAAATATAAATTTTTTTTATCTGAAAAATTTGTAGCACAATAAGGTGCAGGCCTATATTCTACCACCTATAAAAACCATCATAAGCATTGAATGGGCTTGCCATTTAATTATGTCACGTGTATACTTGTAAATAACATACTCCATAAAAATTATCAAAATTTATCGAGCGAAATTTGAAATATAATTTTTTTTCTTCTGAAAAATCGGTAGCTCAGTAAGGAGCAGGACTATCATCTACCACCTACAGAAACCATCATAAGCATCGAATGGGCTTGCCATTTTATTATGGCATGTATATACGTGTAAATAACATACTCCATAAAAATAGTAAACATGAATCAAACCAGATTTGAATAATACACTTTACTCATTCTGTTGATTGTACCAGTTGAAGCTGTTTTTGTTTACTGTAACACTGTTACATTCTCGTACGTCTGGAGTATATTTCGTGATTCAATATTATGGTATAAGAGTAACAGTGTTATATCATTATTTTTTTCGTATGTGCCTTGGTTACATTTATTAATCAAATTAATAAAATTTAATATTAAAATAGGCTGAAAGGAATGTTTACATATCTTTGTTGCGAGTAATGCACTTTGAGGTTAGTGGTTCATAGAGTGATACAATGGAATAACAACAAGTGATATTAATGGTTATTGTACTTTATTTAGGCAACTCAGTTATATAAAAATGGTACATTAGTAAAACAAACACTTAAACACTGCTCAAAATATATGATTTCCACATATTTCAGTGAAACATGCATTTGAGGTTAGGAAGTTCTGAAGCCACGGCCTTCTTGATCTGCTGATCTGACGCTGACGTCATAGCTTAATGTTGGTTTATTGGCAGTTTTACATCCATGCTTTAATGCATAGGCGTAGTTGTTTCCATTTTTACCTATTCCAGTATCTGGGGACGAGGTGGTTTCACTTTAAAGGAATATGATTCTCAAATTAAACACATCCTACTTTAAAGGCAGTAAATGCTGCCATTTAAATGGTATATCCCATAGAATCACAGAAAGAAGGCATTTCAAGAACCTATACCTATAAAATGCAAAGTCCTCACTGACATGCATTCATCACTAATTCTCATACAGTAGACTCCCTCTTATCCGGACACCTTTTAACCGGACTACACTTGGCAGAAATGACATCACTGTTTAACTGGACAATTTTTATCAGCACATTGGTTTCACTGGACTAGATCGGCAGGAAGTGGGCGGCACTGAAACGACTGTTCTCGTGGGAAAGATTTGAGACCAGTGATCACGTGTCTAAATACAATGCTCTCCTAAATTTAAGTGGAATTTCACAGTAAACGGTCCGTTTTAACGAGTTTTTGTTTAACCGGAAAACCCGTTATCCAGACTGGCCTCGGTCCCGAGGAGTCCGGATAAGAGGGAGCTGCACTTATTAGTTTGTTATTCTTCCAATTTATTACCTTATTAACAAGTTCGCTGCTACGGACGTTCCGGAATGTCAGCGGGGCCACGGCGCCAGGAGCTAGGAACGTTCCGGAACGTCACCGTTCATTGTTGTTTAACCTTTCCATGGATCAGCCAGCTCTTCACAAGCGTCCTATATTTCTTTGCAGCTTGTCACGAGCGTCCTATATTTCTTTGCAGCTTGTCACGAGCGTCCTATATTTCTTTGCAGCTCGTGGGGACGTACTTTTCTGACATAAAAAATATAGTTTCCTTGAATCACCGCCAGGGTCTTATAGAACAGTGCTTTGTCCCACCTCTTTCCTGCTAGATAGCGACACTACTTTACCGACTGCAACCTGGGTAGTGCTGCTATCTATCAGAATCGCTTGTTAGGTACTATGCTCAAAGTCAGTTTTATTGCAGAACATTGCTATCCAGTATATAACTACTGTTGTTTTTACTGCAATTCAGTGTATCAGTGGCAAAGTTACGCAGCGGCAAGCACTAGTTCAGCTCCTGGCGCCGTCCCTGCATCTAGCGCTCAGCAGCGAACGTGTTAAAATCAGTTGTGATATTTTGTTTATATTACTGTATTCTGTTTTGTTTACTCCAGCTTAATTTAACCAATAAATAGTTTTATTAATACTTATGAAGTCAAACAGGGTGAAGCCCGTGGGTAACATCTAGTTTTAATACAGCCTTCCTTTTGTGTTGCTTATTCTATGATACAACTAAGGTAATCAATTAGTGTACCTACCAATGCATTGATTTTACTTAATGTCATACAAATATTATTACAAAGTTAATAGATAACAAAAAATAGATTACAATTAACGCTGTACTTATCTGATATATTTTACTGTTATAATGCAGGCCCTAAGTTAAATGCCTATGTATTAGGCCTTTACTGTCTGAACGAGATGTATTTTTGCTGAAACAATGCTTATTACAATTGTCTGTTTATTTAATGACAAATAATTCTTAAAAGCTTCTTGATACTAGAGTGTTTTCTTACATAAATTAGTGAAATTACCGGTGAAATTTTTTTCAAACAAATAGGCTACTTATCTAAGTTATTGTAGGCGTACCAAAACTACCACACCATCAACCTTTAAGTTATGAATTGCCATTTTCAATAATTATATGCCTGTGTCTGAAGGCTAATTATAGTCTCTATTAGTGATGTAAAATACCCAGGCATTTAAAACTCAGGGTAAATACCCTGGGTAATTACCCGGGTAAATACCCAAAATCCATAAATACCCGGGTATTATGGGTATTTATGAAATCAATTGAAATTCATTTATATTCACCCCTAAATATGTTATTGTTATCATTACATGATAAATTAGGATAGTCTATAACACCTTTTACAGCAACTTGAAGCTTTGCTAGTACCTTTTATTTAATGATTTATACTGAAGCACTTAAAAAAAAAAATAATACATAAAGTTTCCAAAAGGCTTGGGGTTTCGTGTCTTAAATCGAGTAACATGAGTTAAATTTAACTTACAGTACTTTAAAAATAGTATATTAAAAAAGGTTGTGGCTATTTCAATTTGTATCATTTCATAATTTTTTTCAATAAATTAAATTTTTTATGAATTTTTTTCAATTAAATAGCATAAACAAAATTATTTTAATTTATAAATATCCAAATGTTATTAAATTATGATAGTAAAAATTGTTATTGTATTAAATGGCTTGGAAGGCTAGACAGACCTAAGGCTTGATTGACATAGGCAGAATGGCAGAATACTAAAAGTAATTAAACTTTTCTGTGTTACCGCTTAGTTGGAAACAATAATATATTTGGACAAACCTACAAAAAGAATGTAGGCCTATCTCTTCTCTTTTGGTCTAATTCAATATAATTTCAAAAGATTTATTGTGCTATAGATTCAAATGATTTGTATCACAAGTTTATGAAATTATTTTTTTTTATGTTGATACCATTGATACCAACTAAATATCTAGAACAAAAATATTATTAAATCCTGCCATCCTACAGATTTAATTTTAATTATTTTGGGTACACTTCCATATCTGTTGGCACAAACAACGGAATGAAAATATTGATCGATATATCGAATTTAACAGTCGAATAATCAATAATACTCATTCGGTTGTTTGTGCCAACAGATATGGAAGTGTACCCTTATTTTCTTAGGTTGTTTACACATAGGCCACTACTAGGTTAAATTTTCCTGTCTTTCTAAATAATAATTATTACTTTACAAATTATTTTTCTTCACTTTCAATAAAATAAATTCATCTATCTAGGCCTATCATAGAAATTCATAAGTAGAAAAATCATAAGTAGTCAGGACCAGTGCAACCATGCGACCAGGGTATTTAAGCCGATTATGCTTTATGCTGAGACCTGGGTATTTATGGCGATTATAACCAGAAGTAAAATGCTAGTTGTGACCATATGAAATTTTGTTTAACACATTTTATCATCATTTTACTATCTTTCCAGGGTAATAATTGCAGAAGAATTTAAGAACATCTCAATCTTCTTTAACTTTAATAAATATTATAAATACCCAGTTTTTGGGTATTTACCCGGGCCTGGGGTAAGTACCCGGGTAAAAACCCAATTTATATTTACCTACCCACTGGGTATTTACCCGGCCCACATCACTAGTCTCTATGCTTTCATTCATAGGGGAATTGATGTTTAGTCTGGGAAAGTTTACAGTAAAAAACCCTAAACTAACCATATAGGTTTGTTAATTAAATTATCTCATTAGTACTAACTAAGATTGATTAAATTAGAGTTGTATAGCCTAAATTATATTTGTTCTGTTGCAGATTCAAGTTCCTTCGTGTAATGATTCGTCTATTCACTAAGGTGACCCCGTGAACAATTCTGGCATAGTCGTTTAACCAGAGATTTTCCCCTAAAGTGGAATCAGGGAAGTGTAAAAGTAAGTGCAAAATTGTTTGTTTACATTTAGCCTATCTCAGATAAAAATGTTTTAAAACAAACCTTTATGTTCTAGAAAAGTACACTGAGCTTAAGTTTGTAAGTTTATGGGCTACACTTATGAAGAAGGCAACCAAACCTAACCATCTTGTTAATCAATTGCAGTACTTTCATAGGCTGTAGTTCAATAATGAAACTCTTGATAGTGATTAAAAGCTTCATGGGATTAGGCCTAGGCTATATAATTTCAATATATTGACAACAAACACAGTAGCCTATTCCCTTATTAGTTTTACCTATTATTAACAGTAACACTAAGTAAAGTATAAATCTAATTGCTCATTAGTGTAACGTGTACCTAGTCTAGTATTCATTCAAGAGACTTGTGTTGTCGAGTAGTGTATGTTAAATACGTTTCATATTTTTGTACTGTGGAAGCACTGTTGGAGCAGTGTGTGTTTGCATTGTGTATTCGTTGTTCTGTGTTTTTCTACGTTATTTTACTTGCAAAATAAAATCCTGATGGACAGTATTAGGTACATTCTTAAACACCAACTCCATATACAAGCAACACATTAAGTTAGAACAATGATAACAAGATAAAACATGCTGGAAACAAAGCTGGCTTTTAAGAATGCACAGAAAGAACAGTTTAAGTGATGACTGACCGTTGGTTGTGTCCAGATTGACGTGGTGTGGGGTTGGGCCTCTCCCCCTCTGCGTCTACACAACCGCAGCAGGATGGGAGAGATGATGCCGGATCGTGACAGAGACAGAGACCGAGCACCAAGCCCGGCCAGGTACTGAAAGAGATTGTGTAGGCCTACCTATCAAAAAAGCAGGCCTAAAATAAATGCTTCCTACTCCAAACGTCCTAAACCATTATAGGCCTACCTATAATGCTACTATTACTATAACACCCTGTAAATAGTAGGCGTCTTCAAAACTTCTACTCCACTAGTCCTAGTAGGTTTGCAAATACTCCCACTCCACATCTCTAAAACAGTTTGAACTGCAATACTCCTACTCCTTTCACATGTATGTAAATAGTCGGTGCATTCAATACTCCTACTCCAAGTGTCCTTAAAAAGTAGGTCAACAAATATTTAAACTCCCTAGGGCTGATACAACTAATTTTTTACCTTCCTTGTTCCTCTACAAAGTTAGCTAGTTTGTTTTCTAAGTCAGTACTGTTCACTGATTTGGTTTGGCGGCCAGTCCTTTACTACTGCTGATCGACTGAGTTCACACTAATCTGGACTAGAGTACCCAACAACTACAAGTCATTTTCTTTAACATGAAGTAGCCTAGTATGAACACATACCACAAAATAAAGTAAAGAAAAATATTAAAACTTAATTGACATACAGTGGAACCTTGATAACAAGACCCACGATAACAAGTCACCCTTTATAACAAGTGTCATTTTCTAATCCCCTTGAATTTTATCTTACCCCTAATCACATGTTATTGTAAACCTCGATAAGAAGTCGACCTCGATAACCAGTATTATTTTATAATCCCCTTGAGACACATGTTATCGAGGTTCTACTGTATTTAAATGACCATACTATAGGAGGTTATAACTGAAGTGGCAGGAAGATAAATGAAGAATAATTTTTATGGTATTTCTATTGATATCACGTTATCACGTGAAGTTGGACTAACTGAGTTGTGTTGGTCAGACTGGCGCACACATCAGAGAAACATCCTCGGGGCACTTTGACGGAACTGAACGTGCTTCGTCGCCACAGAGAGCTGTGTGATGTTGTTCTTAACGTGGGCGCACGCAAGATATTCGCTCATAGGTAAACAATGATTTTGTCTTTGGTAAGAAATTTTTATAAAATATTAATGTGTATAACAATTACAGATGTGGAAGCTCAAGATTGCCGAGTTATGCTTCACAAAAAAAAAAAGATATTTAAATTCAAGATAAGATAATTTAAACTATTCCTTTTTAAAGGCTTTATGTAGTATGATCAATCTTTTTTAATAATTTGACTCGTTACAATTCTTTCATGCGAAATGTGTTTCAACTCATTAAATCCTCCAAGCTTTATTATGTGTTTGGTAAACCTGCCTATTGCCTATAGTACTAGTCATACATAGTGTGCCTGGGTAGCAGAGTGGTTTTATAGTGCTCGCTTGAATCCAGCTGTCCTTGATGAATCCTATACTTTTTTATGAGCAATGTTTGCTTGCACGAATATGTCAATAGACAATAGACAATATATATTTGTTCCTTTAAGCAAAACATAGATAATGCAATAGGACAAGTCAAGAATTTTATGGTAAAATACATAGAGTTGAGACACATAGCTTAAAAACAAGATAAGAGCAGCGACAAAAATTTAGATAAAAATGTTAACATCAGATAAACAGGTCATGATGTGAGGCGATCGTCCATGTAGTCTGCAACAGAGTAGTAGGATTGGTCCTTTAGAAATAGAGTTACAGTTTTCTTAAATCTATTGAGTGGAAAATTTCTAATAGCTATTGGTAGTTTATTATAAAGAGCGAGTTGATGGTAAACATGACAATGCAGGGTTTTTGCAAGCCTTACATATGGAGTAACAAGGTTATGTCTAAATCTAGTGAGGTGATCATGATGAGCATTTTGAGGAGCAAAAGAGTTTATATTTTGTTTGACATATACTAAGGTGTTTAAAATATATACAGATGGAATGGTTAAGATTTTTACCTTCTGAAAACTAGTTTTACATGATTTACGATCTCTTAAGTTGTCAAAGATTCTCTTTTTATAACATTCCAGGCCATTTGACAATTATTCTTTGCATCCTGTATAAGATTATCATTTACTATTTTCTTTGCTTTGCCAATTTCTTTGTTATAAAGTTTTTTAGATTTTATGTACATATTCTTGTCTGTTACATTTGCACTGCATTTCCACGTGTCATACAAAATGAGTGTTAGGTTTCGCATAGCTTCAAGCTTTGGTGTGAACCATTTTCTAAAGTTGTGACTCAGTGAAGGACTACCTTTGACTGTATTATGTTTTACATGAACTACAGGACAATGGTGATAAAAAATTGAGCATATGATGTTTGAAAAGAAAAAAAAGGCAACGGCTTTGATGTCAAAGGTCAAAAACGGTGTGGTCAAAAACTTTGATGCTTTAATGTCAAAAACGGCTTTGAAAATTTCCTTCAAATGTTGTAAATAAGGCTAATTATTTCTGGCCAAAAAACGTGTTTCATGCACTTAAAACTGCCAACAAAAATCTAATTACGTAAAAAAATGAATTGAAAGTAGCCCAAACAATTTTAACAGTCACCCATATTATGGGTTACTACTTTGGCAAAAAAATAACAAAAAACTAGGGATGGTCAAGTCTCGAAATTTCGGGAAATTTTCAATCTCGTTACACGAGACGAGATTACTTTTTGGCCGAGATTTTTCGAAGGCGTTCTTATTTAATTAATTCTTTTAATGTAAATATTACTTTAATTCTTTTAATGTAAATATTACTTTCATTATTTTAATGTAAATATTACTTTCATTATTTTAATAATATTACTTTAATAACATTTGAGAAGTTTTGTTAAGTGTAAGCAGTGTGAGGAATGTTTTGTTACTATAAAAAAAGTCAAAACAAGTAACTATTTTATAAAAATTAATATTGCTTTTATTTTATGATTTATTTTATTTTAGGATAAGTTGAACTCTATCCTAACTGATATCACCATGTTTCCTAATCGTAGGCATTTTTAATAAGTTAGGCGTGATTAATAAAAAAATGTTATGCTGATGTTATTTAATGAAAGATTGTAAATATTCTTGCCTATTATCATTATTTTAGTATTTAAACAGTCATCTAACAATGTTACAAAATCAGGTAAAAATTTCGAACGTGCATTTCCCGTTGTGTATGAGAAGAGAAATCTCGTCTCGAAATTTTATGAGAAATAAAAAATCTTGTCTCGTCTCGTCTCGAACTAAGAATCCAATCTCGTCCATCCTACAAAAAACAAATCGTAAAGATCAACAAAATAAAAGAAATAAATACAACAGCTGATTATAAACAAACTTAAACCAAAGAGGTTTTTAATTTTGACTGGATTACAGTGAGATGTCCTTTTAACTGGAGTTAACGTGTAATAGTAAACCGGCATCACCGTTGATTCTGTTGGGTTGGAAAGCCAAGCAACGCCCGCCTCCTGGTACTGGGCTTTAAACTGTCAGCCATGCTGCGGTTACCATGGGTTCTGGCGTACACAGCTGAGAGCACCGTGTAGTTACGTGCTTTTTTTTTTTTAATGAACGTACCGTGTACGCCGTAACTACATGGTGTTCCTAGTGGTGTGCGCCAGAACCTATGGTAACCGCAGCACGGCTGACGGGCTATTTTTAATTCTTTTTGTCTATGGTATTAGGATGATCCAAATTAGGTTCACTAAACGTTTTAGATAGTTACAAAGTATTTGTTGCAGAGTGATTCTGTCAGCGTGTAGCCCTTACTTCCGAGCGATGTTCACCGGGGAGTTAGCCGAGTCCCGGCAGACAGAAGTGACGATTAGAGACATTGACGAGGTCGCTATGGAGCTGCTCATTGACTTCTGCTACACCTCGCAAATTGTTGTAGAAGAGGCCAATGTGCAGACACTGCTACCAGCCGGTGAGTATGGTCGGATCATTAATATGTAAATAAAACAATTTTAATTCAATAAATACAATTTAAGTAAAAACTAATTAGAGTACCAGATTTAAATAGATTTTATAGGTTTTTTTTTCAATTGGGTGCAAAAAAAATTTAAATCTGTACATCCCTGTTAAATAATAATGTTCTATGACCTAGACAGTAAAACGTGTATGCCAATTTATCAACATACAAAATTGGTTTGAAAGTAGTGCGGGTAAACATTTTTACAAAATCGTTGTCATATATGTGTCTATCTATTTTAATCGTCAAAACACGTTCATAAAAGAGCTCTTAGTGTCCCCAAGTCCTCTTGGGCAAATTTAAATGTTAGTGTTTAAAGATCTCCCTTTATTAAAAGGAAACAATATAGTTCTCTGTGATCTCTAGGTCTTTCCTATCAATATAGTTTAAGGTTCATGCTTATGATTTTTTATTATATCACTGAGTTTGCAATCCAAAACAAAACAAGAAATATCCTTGAAAACTATATTTGAAAACTTTGATTTTTGGTTTCCAGCCTGTCTTCTCCAGCTAGCAGAGATACAAGATATTTGCTGTGAGTTTCTCAAGCGACAGCTGGACCCGTCCAACTGCCTCGGGATACGAGCGTTCGCAGACACACACTCATGTCGGGAACTGCTGAGGATTGCCGACAAGTTCACGCAGCACAACTTCCAAGAGGCAAGTAATCATTGTAATGTTTTTACTACGATTCTTTGGTATGGTTAATATGATTAATTGGTATGGTTCTTTAGTCAATTGGTTATTTTATCAACCTTGTGGGAAGAAATGGAACAGTTTGGAGTGCAAGGTGTATCCTTGAAGAAGCTGGTGCTAAGCGGAGCAAAACTTAATATGATGTCTAACTTCAAAGAGTTGTTTGATGTATGGTTAAATTAAATTCATATAACTACTTTTGAGTATTTAGTAAAAAGTAGCTAAGTATGTTTAGCCTGCAACCACTCTATGAAAAATATTTGTGACATTTGTTCGTTTTTAGAGCAGGCCTACTCAAGTTCTCAATACGTACCATACATTGAGTGCTTCATCCATCTTTGAGAATCCTTGACATTTGTCTCTTCTATCCTCAATCCGTGCTTATTTACGTGTCTTCTTCTTGGTTTTTAGTTCTAAAATCATATTCCCTAGCCCAAATTTTATAACTAATAAAACAATGTTTGAAAAGTTAATAAATTTAATGTTCATTCTTGTATCATACAGACGTTATGACTTCATAAACATGACAGGTCAAAAGTAGTGATCTCAAGTTCATGAGTTTTGATTCTTAATACTGAATCCTATAAAATCAAATCTTAAACCTCAAAACCATGTAAATTGTTAAAATATGATAAATATATGATGTACCCCGGTATTCACATCAACTGTGAAAATGAATTATTAACTGTCTCATTATTATTTGTTTTTGGTTTGAAAGTATTTCAAGTATAGACCTATTTGATGTTTAAAACTGTTTCCTATAGTTGCAGCAACGTTGAGAAAATGCAATAATATTGCAAGATTCTCAGTCTAAAAATAACCCTAGTTTTCAAAACTTGAACATTACTATTAGGATTCCATTAGGTTTTTACCTCGAACAAAAGCGCAGGTTATGCTAGCGTCGTCAATTATTGGTAGGTATTAAATATGGGATTCAAAATTTTCTCTTGAGATTCAGTAGATTCAACACCTCACTAATTGAAAGGTCTATATTGTAGGTGATGGAAAGTGAAGAGTTCCTGTTGCTGCCCGTCGGACAGCTAGTGGACATAATCTCTAGTGACGAGCTCAACGTCAGATCCGAGGAGCAAGTATTCAGCGCAGTCATGAACTGGGTCAAGTACAACGTGTCTGAAAGGAGGCAGCATCTTGCACAGGTAACCAGTCTGTCAGTGTCGTCATAGATTTATCACACCCTGGACATGCTTTAATTTTGTATATTCATCATTAGAAGCATGCTAAATTTCCACAGTAGAGTTAGTGGCTCAGTTGGTAGTGTGAATAACCGTGAAACAAAGGTAGTCTTGTCTTAGAGTCTCAAAGCTGCCACTTAAAATGTATCAGTACAGTTTATTCTTGTTCTGTCCCAGATACCATTGCCTTGCTTGCTAGGTTCCAAGCACATGCTCTTGAGGCCCTTGGGGACCGGCAAAGGCAACACTAAAGGGACCATCCTCTTAAAAGAACTATGAGGATTATTTTGGTCCAAGTATAGATGCAATAATCAAACTATTCTGCAACTTAAAAGAAGGAGTCTGCAGTGCTGACTTTTTTTACTTCGCGTTGAGTCGGGTCAGGTAAAATAATTTGTTCCTTCAGTTTTGGTTCGAAATTGGGTTAGGGTAAAATTGGTTTGCGTTGGAAAGTATTGATTAGAAAAAATATATAATTGTTGTACTAGAATCAGCTAATGATGTAGATGATCTCCCCATATCGAAATCGTGAACGTCTTCTGCGGTCACTACAAAATCACCATTGTCCCCCACAATCATGGTTATACGATGAACATCACACACGATCGCACCTAATCCGTCAATTTTTGATCGCCAATCTTTGCAGACGGTTTCTTCAATTGCCATAATAGAAGCTCCGCAATGCCCGACTTTAATCAAAATTTGGCCCATTTCAGGCACAAACCTGTGTCCTTTTGGGCCAACAGTTGGCCCGACCTGACTCGAGAATATTACAGATCCACAGACACCTATGTTAGAGTGAATGTTGTTTATACAGGTACTTCAGCATGTGAGGCTTCCCCTGCTGAGTCCCAAGTTCCTGGTAGGCACAGTAGGATCAGACTTGCTGGTTCGCAGTGACGAGGCTTGTAGAGACTTGGTGGACGAGGCTAAGAACTACCTGCTGTTGCCTCAGGAGAGGCCACTCATGCAGGGCCCTCGCACTCGGCCTAGGAAACCCACGCGGCGTGGAGAAGTACTCTTTGCCGGTGAGCATTTCCACACCGTAGTGTTAATGGATTACACCGTTGACTTTTTTGTATGTACAAACCATACTGTAAATAGAAGGACGTGCCTCTCTCCCTGGATGCCACACTTTGTGGCAAAATATATTGGAAAATTTTAGGGATGGACGAGATTGGATTTTTAGTTCGAGACGAGACGAGACAAGATTTTTTATTTCTCATAAAATTTCGAGACGAGATCGAGACGGGATTTCCCTTCTCATACGCAACGGGAAATGCACGTTCAAAATTTTTACCTGATTTTGTAACATTGTTAGATGACTGTTTAAATACAAAAATAATGATAATAGGCAAGAATATTTACAATCTTTTATTAAAAAACATCAGCATAACATTTTTTTATTAATCACGCCTAACTTATTAAAAATGCCTACGATTAGGAAACATAGTGATATCAGTTAGGATAGAGTTCAACTTATCCTAAAATAAAATAAATCATAAAATAAAAGCAATATTAATTTTTATAAAATAGTTACTTGTTTTGACTTTTTATAGTAATTAAACATTCCTCACACTGCTTACACTTAAAAAAACTTCTCAAATGTTATTAAAGTAATATTATTAAAATAATTAAAGTAATATTTACATTTAAAGAATTAATTAAATAAGAACGCCTTCGCAAAGGAAACGCAACTACAACACGCTCGTGTATTGCGGGTATTGCATTGACTTTCTGCAGGCGTTTTTAATTTTTTTTTTTTTTTTTTTTTTTTATTCTCGTCTCGATAAAAATCTCGGCCAAAAATAAATCTCGTCTCGTGTAACGAGATTTAAAATTTCCCGAAAATTTCCCGAAATTTCGAGACTTGACCATCCCTAGAAAATTTCTAGAACTTTTGAAAGGAAATGGGCTTTTGTAAAAAAAAATACTCAAATCATTTGAAGTTCTCACCCCTGAGATGTTTAATCTAAAACAAAAATGGTTGATCTAAAATGTATACCGCATTGAAAATCAGAGCCAAATATATAATATAAGTTAATTTAAATAATTCAATTTATCGAGTAAAAAAATTTTTTTTTAAGATATTGATGTAATATTATGATTAGCAAATCTGTAACCTGTCATTATAATTGGATAATATACTTGTTTAACCATATATTTGAAAATGTACCTTAAACTCTTGAAAATGTTATAACTCTTGAACTTGTTTTGCATTCTTATGTCTGGGATCAACATCTACATATTATAAGAACAATTTTACTTCTGTAATCAACTAACTAATGTTTATGCTTAGTGGGCGGATGGTGCAGTGGAGATGCCATAGCCAGTGTTGAGAGGTTCGATCCTCAGACCGTGGACTGGAAGATGGTTGCGCCCATGAGCAAGAGACGCTGTGGCGTTGGCGTAGCTGTGCTTAACGATCTGCTGTACGCAGTGGGAGGTCACGACGGACAGTCATATCTCAACAGCATTGAGAGGTCAGTTGGGTTTGAAACTGATATAAATGCTTTTAGATATAAAAATCGTGTTTTTATTTATACTTGTTTATCAAGCCTATGTCCTTGTTATCTATAAAATCCTTAAAACATGGCTATAAAATTAATTTAAAATGTTAATCAAACCACTAAACTAAATGAAACTCATAAACCTTGGCGTCTCTATGATTTCTCGGTTTTATTGACTTAGTGCATCATCACTTAACCTGGATCAGCTAGGCTAGGCTTGGTCTTGGCTCGAAGATAACACAGCTTACACATTCTATAGTGTAGTAAACTTAAAATTTATCGGTTGAACATGTATGGAAGCATTAGTAGTGTTTAAGTCCATCTAGTTGCAAAGGTATAGGTGTTCTGTATACCTATTGTTTTTTTATTGAGCAATTAAAAATGTCCTATTAACAATTCAAAACCTATTCATCCACCATATCTCTCAGTTTACAATTTCTTAAAACATTATTGTACAAGCCTGGCCATATTATCTCAAAGTTGTCTGTGTGACTAGAGATTTCACTGAGTCGATATCGTTTGTGGAACTAAAATTGAATATGCCTCGGAGAAGGCTTCCTTTGTTAATCCTTTATGATAAAATCTGGAGTTATTTTTGCATACTATAATAGTTTGGGAGTATTAGTTGTAAGAATGTCGTTGTTCTGTTGGCAGGTATGATCCTCAGACTAACCAGTGGTCGTGTGACGTCGCCCCGACCACCTCCTGTCGCACCAGTGTCGGTGTCGCAGTACTGGACGGCTATCTGTACGCTGTGGGAGGGCAAGATGGCGTCCAGTGTCTCAATCATGTAGAGAGGTAAGAGTTCTCATCTAATGATCGAGTGCCATGTTAAGTTTGATGCTGGTTTCAGAATATAAATTGGCGTGGTTGAATTGAGCCAGTTACAATGTCAATTACTGACTTCTGACAAATTAACATCTTTTACATATACATCTTTCTAACCAAACCAAATCGAAAGGGCGACTTGTTAAAATTATGGCACATTTTATGTCACATTTAAATTGTACCTAAAATTAAAGGAGAAAAAAGAATTTAACTGTGTGGTACAACCTGTGAGTACCTCAATCAACTAAATATTTTTCTCAATAAATAAAATGTTTCAATAAATAAGTGTTAAATAAGTTGATCCAAGTTTACCATTACCTTAATTTTCCAATTGTGTTTTGAATCCAGACATTGTAGGTTACCTACCTCACTTGAAATAAGTTTATTGCTTTCCTGCATGTATTTTCCTAGTCTCACTTTTTAGAAATCGGTGCAAAATGAAGACCTTGGTTAAATGCCACTCTTATATTTATTTCGCTGCTTATACTGAAGGGTCAGCTGTGCTGCAATTCTTTAATAACAATACACAGTTACTGACAATAGTGGTTTTACTGTTTAATTTTGATGGGGTGGTTTTAACATCCAACCGTCAACTATGGAATAAGTGTTTTTGTGTTTTGCAGGTATGACCCGAAGGACAACAAGTGGGGTAAGGTGGCGCCAATGACCACTCGTAGACTCGGGGTTGCTGTGGCCGTCCTCGGAGGATATCTCTACGCTATCGGAGGATCTGATGGCCAATGTCCACTCAATACAGGTTAGAGGAAACTCCAATCATGTCAAACAGTAAAAATACTGTAACAGTTAGTGATGGATCGGTACCACTTTTTCAATGTCGGTTCCGGTTCCGGTTCCTAACCAAAATCCATTCTCGGTTCTTGGTTCCGGTACCTCATTTTAAATTAGGCTACTTAATTGTTTTATTTTAAAAAAAAAATATCCCTAATTAAATTTTTAAAACTGATTATTGTTCACTAGTGTAGGTTGGTTATATTAAGAGATAAAGAAAATCTAACTTAGGCCTATTTACTTGTATAAAACAACACTTTGACAACCAAACAGTAAACACATTCAAATCAAAACAATATATAGAATTGTTAAATATAGTACAGTATTCTATTAGTATTCAGTATTTAGTATTAGTAGTAGTAGTATTCTATTTGTTTAAATGATTCACTGTTAAACCAATAAATTTTATTTTGTTTGAGTTAAGCCTACAAAACACTGATCAATACGTGTACTGGTGAAATTACCTGCTGTCAAGTGATCCTTGTGTCCTTGAAAGGCGACCACTTTCGTCATCGTCTTTTCGTTCTTGCGTACACGTAGTTTTTTTAAAAAACATTGAGATTTACAGTTTTACAACACTAAACATAAAACACGAAAAATGGCCAATAACTATTATGGTACCGATCGATCGAGTGGCGGGCTATACGGACGTTGAGTTTAGACTGAAACAGCCTCAGCAATGAAGTACAAAACATAATTAGGTAATAGGGGTTAGCAAACCAACAATTGTTCATTGACCTGACTAGGTTTGAAAAAGATGAGCTAACACAAAGTACTGGTGTGTTGTTGCAGTGGAGAGGTACGATCCTAGACAGAACAAATGGACGCCCATGTCCCCGATGTCGACCCGTCGTAAACACCTCGGCTGCGCAGTGTTCAACAACCTGATCTATGCAGTGGGTGGCCGAGACGACTGTATGGAGCTGTCCAGTGCAGAGAGATACAACCCTCACACCAACACATGGTCTCCCATCGTGGCCATGACCTCACGTCGTAGTGGGGTGAGTAGTAAAACAGGTCGACTTCAATAGCAATATTCAGCCATCATTTATTGTGCAGGATAAAAAATCTCTGTATAGGGTTGCCATCTACGAGTTTGGCCATTACCCTATTGTATTGTAGCCAATTGCTTGACTGAGCTGGTGGAATGTCCTTACTACAGCTCATCTTAGGCACCTAGGTCTTTGCCTCAGAACTGGGAATTTATATGGTTTCGTAGTAACCACATTGCCATCTACTCTGTGACGGGATAGGGGCAGAGAATTTGTACCATACTATGTGATGAATATCTTCATCTTTCTTAATATCATATTAAATCACCAAAATTCAGTGGTTATCCAGGGTTTTAACTTAAAGGGGAGAACCCACCCTCTTGATTGGTCCTAGGTGAAGTAGGGGTATCTCCTTTAATGTAATTCACTTCCCCTTTACACTTAATCTTGTGGGCGTCACAAAACCAATTTCAGATTACTGGGGCAGCCCTACGAAAATAGCACAACATCCAAGTAGTTGCATGACTGTGACAGTACTACGCCACAAGTACTGACCCTGTGAATCCATGAATACTTAAATGTTGTTATCCGTTATAATATAATAAATAATTTTATCTCCCTGGCACTCATACACTATCCCTTAAGTGTCAAATGTTTACTATATTTTCAAAATTTTCTATGACGTCATTTCTTAGTATTGTCTTGTCTTAAATATCTGAATTAATTGTTTAAGACACAGTAGAATCCCTTCTAATCACACTAAGTTGTATTATGGAATGGTTGCAGTGTACAGCAATTAGTTAGTTTTTTCTTAGGACTATATATTTTAAGCTTTTAAGATCCATATTTTTTAGATTTGTATTTAATACTTGTTACTTAAGTTGTAGTTTCTGTTTATACGCCAAATTCTTAGAACACTTGGGCTTTTAAAGCAGTCTGATTCCACCCCTGAACATTGCTGCCACTAATCTAATTGCTTACACACAGGTTGGCCTAGCAGTAGTGAACGGACAGCTGTACGCCGTGGGAGGATTTGACGGGACAGCTTATTTGAAGACCATCGAGGTGTATGACCCCGAGCAGAACCAGTGGCGTCTCTGTGGAGCTATGAACTACCGCAGGCTTGGTGGGGGTGTGGGCGTCATGAGAGCCCCGCAGACAGAGAACTACTTCTGGTGATGCTTCTGTGATGGCCGAGAGCCAACTAGCTTCCTGTGGTAACAAACTGCGTAATTTATCTGTGTAAATTGTAAATTCTCTCGTTAATTCCATAATTGTATAGTAGTGATTTTAATTAAAGCTACTCGCAATCCTAAGAATTGTTTATGGCAGCTCAGAGATAATGGATTTTGTTTTTATTTATGTGTCTGTATAAGGTATTAGAGCTGTAATATATGTCTGTAATTGTTACTTGAGTGTTGATTCCCCTGGTCCTATAAATATTTACATTGGTATTAGGCTGCTAGAGAGAGACCATTTAAAATTAGGAGACATGATTGAAAGACTAAATCGTTGAAATCCTAGGAAAATATCAAGCAAAAGTTAAATACCCTATTAAGTTACAATTGAAATGTCACATTATTAAGTTTGATGTTAAGTCATCAAGCAGATGCCTAATGCAAGGTAGTTGCCAGCAAAGAAAACAACGCGGGGGGGGGGGGGGGGGTTATGGGGGAAAACAAGGGGGGGGGGCTAGTTTAAACAAGTTTTGAGGTTTTCATAGTGACCCAAAATAACACTAACAAAATAGGTCCTATAATATTTATCTTCTGGAAGAGCCTTAAAAAAAAGATTGGAGTTTTGTCCACTTTATTTTCTATACTGATAACATTACATCAAAGAATTGGTGATGTCAGTCTTCAAATTAAATTAAAGCCAAAGGGCCAGAATATTGGAACTTTCAGCCTTGTGTATTTTGTTACTCAATGGCTACGTTATTTTCACTTTTAGTCATCTGTTCCTTTGCACAAAACAGCAACTGCTTTAAGGTTTACTATCAAATGAAGTAACAAATACAACCAATTATACTGGGTAATCCTGAAACTTTTGAGTTTCTTTAATTAGAGGGTTCCACTTTAAGTTTTTGTGTCTTTCACTAATTGGGGTTCAATAATAATTTTTCTGAATAGTTTGTTTTAGTGCAGTAAACACCCAACATAAGAAAGTTTGGTAAATTTTCTCAAATTATCAATTTGAATTTTGTTTTTAAATATTCGGTTATATAAACAGTTATTTTAAATCTGTAATTAGTACCATCAATTTCATGCAATCTGACCAATTCTAAAACTTAACGGAGTATTAACTCCTTTTAATACTAAATCAATTTAAATTAAATACAATCTACGATATCCTGTTTTAAAGTAAACCAATGTTAATGAAACAAATATCTTAAAAGACTAATAAGTTTCAATCAAACATAACAGCAGGTAAGAAAAACTACACAAGACGTTTATCCAGGTTTCATACAAAACAAAAACACGTTACTTTATTGCACAATAGGCCTGCTATAATATGGAAATATTTTACAAACTAATCAACAACCTTAGAGTCACATTTGAACAAATATGGTGCATCAGCGATAAAAGTGGTGCGACAACAGAAGTCATCTTAGCCTAGTAGCAAAACATTCAGTTGACAGATGACAGCAACACAGTTCTGTCCTACCAACATAATACACTAGATTAGCATAGACACTAGCTCGGTAATAAGCTGGTCTTTACTGGGAGCCAAGTCAATGGAAACTTAACAAAAATATCTTACTCTGCAAATAAAATGTTACTGGTGATTTATTTACAATAAGTCTTTTTGTTTGGCAGTATATAGTTCAAATCGTTTCAATATTAATTTTTAGTGGAAAGAATTGGTTTCAGTTTGATTCTTGCTATGCGGACTTGTTAAATCTCTGATATTTTTAACGTCAGAGCAAATCTGTTTTAGACTATCGTTATAAAATAAATTTTTGTTTTGATAAAAATTTAGTACTATTTGTTCAGTAATTCGCTAAATATTGTTCCTATCTTTTAGTCAACAGTAAAAGTTTTGATCTTATTTGTGATATGTAACTTTAAATTCCTTTAAGTACATGTTGTTCTAATTTGTTGTTTGTCTCTCCTTTCAACTGAGCTGCCTCAATTCAGTTTTCAGACTAAGTTTTGCCAAACACAATCAAATGAACTTAATGGGACACAAAAACACTCAGCAAGAATCATGTCATTGAAAAAAATCAAGTTACATTGTCATAATCATTTCTAATAAGTAAAAATATTATATTTACCTTAAAAAAGACACAGTTAGTTGCCAAAGATTAGTTGTAAAAAATACATAAACAAAATTTTTTTGTAATTTTAAGTTGGTCAGTGACAAATTTGCTCCCTATGTAAAAATCTATAAGAACCCTTTAAACAAAAAATCTGAGTTCTTCAGCACCAAAATCATATTTCATTGTTTTGCATATTTCGTCTTGACAAAGGCGAATAACAGACGAGTCAATATTATTGTTATATTATAACAATACAACAAGTTCCATAATGTTACAAACCTTCCATATAATTATTAAAATTTCCAAATAACTATAAATCTATCACTTATATACACAATGTACAAAGTTATAATTTATTTTTTTAACCTAAAAAATAAAAACTAAATGTGTAGATTACTGGAAAATGAAAATACAATATTTTAAGACAAATTGATAATAAATTATTCTCCTGAATAATGAAGTGTGGCATCTGCTTACATTTTGTGTTGAACAAAGTCATTTAATTTTTTTATTTAAGAATAAACGTAGGATCAATTCAGTCATTTTTAAAATTATTTCTTACAGTAGCGTTTTTAACATATTATTTTCTTCAATACTTAAGATAGAAGATAAATATCCTTTGACATCATCAAAAAAATTGAGACATACAGATGATTCATTTTACATTCTTACCATGCCCACCATTTACTGTTGAATAAATTTCCTAAAACCTTATGAAAGTTGTGGTTAATTTGAGTTTTCTTTATTTAACTTTTGATAAGAAAGGTCAGAAGTTCTTATTGTGTCACACTTCGTTCCCAGTAAAATAAATGTTTGAAAGGGGATATAAACAAACACACACACACACAAATTACAAATTAATGAAAATAGGCTTTTTTCACTAAACAAATTGAAACAAAGGTTAAGTTATGTTCCCTAAACGGATTAACATTCAAAAAATTCTAAGCTAAGTTCAGTAACAATATTAAATAAATTTATTGTAACAACAATAACACCATCTACCTAGTACCGTTCCACAAACTATGTACAACCACAGCATCCTATCTGTGGAATCTGATTGGGATAAAAATATAATCTGTACATCTGGAATATTTAAATGATGAACACATACCAATAATTACACAATTCTTGATAACATAACCTAACATAATTGTCTAATGCATATTTTTATTTGTAAAGCAACAAATTGTCTCACTGCATTTAATAAATTTCTCATTCGTAAACACTGTTGAAACCATGCCTAATTTAATTTAACATAACTAGCAGTACAATTTTCAGTATTTCTGACTGCGTCCCCTTCGCTTTACAAAAGCCCAAAAATAATCCAGTAGTTTCAGGCTGTAAAATGTTTCATTAGTGGGTCATAATTTTGAAAGATCAAACAATTAGCTCAAATTTGCTATGGGCCTTAGGCCTGTGCATGGAATGTATGAAACTAAGAAGTAATGAGTCAGTACGGTAAAGTAAAGTATCAGTAAACTGTACTGATAAATCTTGACTGGCAAAGGTTGATCAAATTCTTAAGAGTTTACAACAGTTATTGAAACTTTGTAAAATTTAATAGTTGATTGTTCTGACTTAAGAAACTGAAAATAATATGATAATATACAAACATCAGTGATTAAAAAATTAAACATGTAATACTGATACATGACAAGTAGATTAAAATTAATTTTGGGTAAAAAAATCTCTTGATAAATATTAATGATTGTACATTGAGCTTAGGTTTTTCTTAAAGTTACTTCGTCATGGGATTCCAATAATTATAATGAAGGAGGTTTTGTAGAATTCAAGCCATAACAGTTTATATACAATATAAAGGCTTGTATAACAAAAAGATAAAGCTTTTCTACAAAAAAATAAGCACACACAGCATGAGGTTCAAGGCTTAAGGCATGCTATTCAAGTAACAGTTTGAAACCTTAAAACAACATGGCTAATATTTTGTCATTTTAGAATACTTTCTTTAAAAAATATATTTTATATATTTCATATGTTGTTTGGCACACAATGGGTCGAGTATTTGTCTCTAAGAGTAAAAAAAGTCTCTCTTAAAAGTTCACATGTAGAGGAACTAACGCACACTGAAAGCTAAAATTCTCTGTGACAATAGCGACTGTCTCGTCAGGCACGGCTCTTGTAGCTTCTGCGTGAAACCTGGCGTCCTCGGCAAAATTATTTGATTAACAAATAAGGCAATGTTTGGAAAACCATAAATCAAAATCAGTACAAATTCATTATCATCAAGGTCAATACAAACCAATACAAATTATTTTGTGGCTTGGTCATAGTGCAATCTGTTTTGTAGGTTTTTTTTTGTAAATGCACAGGAGTAAAAACTGTAAAGGATAACCCAAGAAAATAATTGGATATCGAGCAAAACCATGGGTGTGTTAAGTTTTCATTTCTTGGAATTTCCTAAATGTCTTTTTCCACTTTCCTCCCCCCCCCTCAATCCCTTGCCTTTCTCTCTTAAGTGGATTTGTGTTTGTTGGGATCTAACAAAACAAACATGACACTGGCCTAATTTGTAACCAAGACTGAGGAGTACACCCTTTTAGAACTTTCTCTGTACCAATTACTATGTTGTTTTTTCTTGTGAAACCAAGCCAATAGGAATTAACAATCTATGTTAGGTATAAATCCATTTTTTCAATTTCCACCACCACAAAGGATCTAATTGTGTTCAGTCTTGGTTTGTGATGATTTAGAGATAAAGACCAAGCACCCAAAAATACATTCCTTGAAGTTTATATTGTTCAATTTGATTTAACGAAACAAATGCAGAATTTAACTATAACAAGCCACAAAACCGTGATATCACAATGTACTAAACACAGTTGGCTACTTTCCAAAAATAAACCATGACCTTGCACTTAACCATCCAACATTCAGAAATTAACGTACTCGCAACTGATAACACTGCGACACATCGTAGCACAACTGCATAGCGTAGCTCACAGATAGCTTGGGAGGGAGCGTCGTCTTGACGCTACGCTTCTAGGAATATCAGCGCCGTGGGTTTGGGTTCCAAGTTTGATTTCTTGGCCTCGACAACCAGAAATTCTATTTCTTGTCGTTCTCTTCTTGCAAAAGACTCTGCTATCAGTCTTGCTACCTCTTGATGCTGCATGCCTGTAAAGTGACGAATGAGTTAAAAGTGCTTTTAGTTTACACAACTAGTGTTTGATTAAACCACTAAGAATGGGAAGCCACACATGAGTAACCTAATCACAGAACACAATTCATACTTGACGGAAGTGTCAACTTTCTCTCTCAATGTTATTGAATGCTATGATACGCCTACTTAATGTCCCGTTTTGGTCAGAACCAGATGGAATAGAAGTGGATGAAGTAAGAAACACGAAGATGTCTCAGATTTTAAACTTGGCTTCTGTGGAAGCTTGAAGGATACCCTAAATTGTACAACCCTCGAACATATCTCCTTAAAATATTTTACTTATGATAAATAGTAAAACACATATCGTCTTGTAACTCTTATTCCAAAAAAAAAAATTTTGTTTCTTTGCATACAATCTCAATGAAGTAGGCCTAAAATAAAAATTACTATCCAATTTTTAAATTTGAGTAAAGGTTATTTTTCTTGGGTATGTGTGTAGACGGTTTTACCGAAGCAGTCTCTACACTTGAAGTATCTGTCCAACCAAGTAAGCAAGGTCTGTGCACAATAAATAAGCTATGGTTGAAATGCCTGCACCCAGGGTATGTCCCTTCCCTCCAATCAATCAAAGGTTTTAAAAAAATATATTGAACAGGTCTACTAACCTTCAACTTTTTGACCGTCAACCTCCAGTATAAGTTGCCCCACCTCTAGACCCCCAGCATCAAACGCTGCCCCGTTTTCCTGTAAGGAAAAAAGATTCTGTTAAGCCAAAACAATTATTTTTACATATTTCAAAAATGTAAAAGTGTCTGTACAAATTTACAGGAGATTTATGAGAGTTATGAGAGAGAATCATGAGACCAGTTTGGTATAGATAAAAGAACATAAAATAAGGATTAGAAATGTAGGTAAAAAATAACAAAGAAAACTGATGTGGACTCGTGATTGGAAATTCAATGCTGATTCTGGGCGGATGCTCAATTTCACCATATTGCAAGCCCTCTTTACTTGCATATGTTGTATTTCTTCTATGAAATGCACGAATCAGACACTTTAAGTTGATCCAACAACCAAATAATCTGTCAAACTCGATAATCAAGGCTACAAATTCTGCCTGTCAAGTCTGTTGTTCAACTCATAAGTTAACCTGTCTGTATTCAAAAACAGGTAATAAGAATATTGTAAGTTTGTTTGGAGAAGCCCAACTAAAATAAACTGTGAATGGTTGATGTAGAAGTTGAATGACAAATTGCTACTTTTCACTTATCCTTACTGTGACTGTGTCCACCAAAAAACTTGTACTATAAAATTTCTTATCATTTTGTTCATAAGGTAAAGGAAAAGATTAAACAAATTAGTCAATTAGGTTCTAAAGGGGTAAACTTATAGACTCACATGAATATTGATAATCCTGGGTAGCGGATGTCTTGTGTTTGCTCCTCCTTCAATCGCAATTCCTAACAATGGTTTAGTCTTCTTCACAGTGATCCTCAAGTTACCCTGACTATCCGGAACAACCTGCAAAGGGAAAGGTTAAATCATAAACTTGGACTACCACTCCAAAGCTACTGTAATATTTGGCATACTGGTAATCACTATTGTAGTTTTACAAAGTTTGAAGCCAACTGAAATGGTACTGCATCTACGAGGGTTGTTGATAATTAAGGTCTTCATTGAACTCTATCAAAGCGAAGCAAGCTAGTTCAATTGTGAGGCAAATCTCGTTTTCCTTCCTTAATCCACTACTATTCTGGTCGGTTCCTACCCATATAGTCTTCCCATAGTATTTAAACTTGCTATGAAAGATGAAAGAAAATCTACGCTCTTGCCAAGCCAAGTATTAATCACGTTCTATGATTAGGTTTCTGTAGGAAGGGGTAAATCTCTGTTTATTAGTTGACTTGTGTGAATGCAGAAAACATTGAAGAAGCGTGTTAGTGATTTAGGAAGTTTGTAAAAGGCTACATATTTGCACAACAGGGCCGTCAGATGTTCGCATTAGACAGTGATCACATTTAAGGAAACTGCTTGCTGATTTGCACATTACGGACTTTCAGGGCTGACCGTTCTTAATAGTCTCTTTAATAAAGTCAAAGTCATCTTTATTGTCACAAAACTTTTTTTTTAAAGCTCTGGCACAGCCAGACAAAACAGGTGACATTGTCAAACTATACTAAAATAAACTAGCTTATTGGTAAAAATAAATACATAGTAAAAAAACAAACAATTTACATTGATTTGTCTTCGAGAAATTGATCTATACTATAATAATTCTTTTCCAACAAAAATTCAAAAATTTTTTCTTGAAAAGATACTAATCCAATTATAGATTTGTAGTACCCAGGAAAATTGTTAAAAAATCTTTTACCCATATAAGAAGGTGTCCTTTCCACAAGATTTAATCTGTGTATAGGACATTGAACATCTGTATGAAATCTAGTGTTATAATTGTGCCGATTATTTTCACTGTGGAGTTTTTAAAAATTTGATTTCACATACAATAAACATTTAAGAATATACAAATTAGGGACGGTTAGAATCTTTAGTTCTTTAAAAAGTTGTTTGCAAGAATGTTTGCGGGCAAGAAGTCATAATTCTAAGTATTTTTTTTTTATGTTTAAAAAGTTGATACGAATCAGAGGTGATAATCGTGAATACGTCCCCTATAGTGTGATAATCTAATCTTTCTCATTTGGTCACACCTTGATCTGCATACAAAATTCCCCTTTTGTCACTGTGTCTAATAAGACTCATAGACAACAAAATGCATTCACCGTGGAAATCATTGTGAAAATATTTTAAAGACCACCTCCGAACTCCCTCTACCACTTCACACCAGTGTGTAACCCACCTAAAAATACCATTTCTTTGAGGTTGGTGTTATTTGTCTAGTCAGCTTTGTATGTTGTTAGTTTGTTGCTAATGTGGAGTCATAGCTAGGAGGTTTATCTAGGAGAGTATTGTGATACTGTAGTTTCTTTCCTAAAAATGTATAAAATGTAAAAACTGCCAAATAGCACACACACTCCACATGTGCGAATGAACAGGAATTGTGTTGGGTTTAAATGTATACTCAATCAATATTTTGAATTCCCATTGAGTGTAAAGAAATTGACTTTTTAACAATCAGCACAAACTTACGTTTATTTTGTCTTGATAATTGTCTCATACTTTTATTGTAAAAAAAAGCACAACTGCACACAAAAAAGGTTATTATGTTGTACATTTTTTGTTTAATATATTGCCAATTTTGTTCTCCAATTATCTAGAAGGAAGAAATCTCTGAACCCAAGAGTTTCTGAGTTGGAAGTAAGTTGGGACAAGTTTAAACTCAGAGGTAAACCAGCTTGAAGATAGTCTGATTGTTCTTGTCAAGTTTCCAACTAACTTCAACAAACAGGAGGAAAACCTCACATAAGGAAAAAGCCAACCGCTCTTTTATTTAAAATTAACAGAATGAAGACATTTAGTTACAATTAACTGAAAATAAATAGCCAATAACAAAATGTACCGGTATGTATTATAAAAAATAAATAAATAGAATTTTATATAAAAGAGGTTAGGCTACATATTTTTTTAACAATTCGTTTCAGATTGAATCTAAAAATACAAAATAAAATACAAGGAGCTATGACTAATTCAACTATAACAAGTTATACACTTAACTACCTGGCTGTTTACATTAACATTCGTTGATTATACCCAGGGGAGAAATTGGTTGAGGAGTTTAAGGTGATAGAAAAGAAATTCCCATGCTCAAGAGCGTGAACTTACATCATCTCCAGTATGTCATCCTGTTTAGGCACTTGTAGTATTTCTGCAGAGACATTATGAACGTTGGAAAAATGAGTAGGTTGTAAAGATTTGTTAGATGTTTAGGCCTACAGTTATATGTTTTGTTACACGTTTTATATGGAAAGATAACTTCAGTGTCATAGAGGATTATTTATAACCTGACGAACTGCTAGGATTGAAACCATTGTTGTCCCGGCAAAACTAGGATCACCTGACATTACCCCAGATATCCTTTATTTGGGATTTAGAGGATTAAAGGACTAACCTGTGCCTCATTGTCAGCTGAGGAGTCTTGGAGGTCTCCACGAGACAGTCTCATGTTGGACCCGTGTCTTCTCATGCCACCAGGCTCTGCCTCGAGTAGTTCTTGTTCTTCCTTGAGGTCGAAGCCTCGTCCCAACTTGTGAGCGAGCTGCTGTAACAAGGCAGCATCCAACAGATCATCTCGTAGACAACCATTACAAGTATTGTTGTGGCAGATGAGTGGCTGTGATACCCTTGATGGACTTAAATGTAGAGGTCCATTTATGCCTGGGTGAACTTGATTATAAAAAAGAATTACCTACTAAGGAAAAGATGACAGCCTAATTCTAGAGTCCAGTTAATAACCATTTTGTAACATATAAATTAGTTTCCACGCTTAAACTGGTCAGGATAAAAACAATTTAATAGATTGTGTTCCATTTGTACACTGGATTTTGGGTTGACTCTGTGCCATTTATTGGTTTATACTGTGACTAACTAAACATCCTGAAATGTAAGCAGTTAGAATAAACAAAGGAAAGGATTCATTTAACTCTAGATGAGGATGTACTTGATGAGCGATAATCTTGGTCAACAAATTTTCCCAACATGATCTGTCAACTTTTCATAAGCCCAAGTTTTAGAAACTGATCGGAAGATGATTCAACAACTGCAAGAGTCAAATTTTAGATTCATCCTAATTTAATTTTTAATACGAGCTAGAAAGGTTTTTGTTATCTCAAGGAGGCAATCAAACTAAACTAGGAATGAGTAAAGACTATTCTAGGAATAAAACATACATAGTTCGAGAATCATGCAAATCCAAATCCACTGCAAACTAAGTTCCAGAAAAACTCTGCATCGACCAAAGTGGAAAATCCATGCAAAGTGAGATTGTAAAAGATGCAGAGGTTTTTTGGAGGCTATGAGCTTGAGCGGGTGCGTGGAAACGAGAACCAAATGAGGGCTACAGGGCTACCAACCAACCATGCGGGTCTACCAACCTACACTACGAAACGGAAGCATGCAGGGCCGCCAATCTCCTTACAAGTCGAACTACCTCCATGAGCTGTTTTTGTTGATTGAGAAGCAAAGAGTATTGTTGTTGATTGTGTATGTTTCTAGTCTCTTACAATTCATTCTCTTCGTAACAGAAGATTGTAGTGAATTACTATAGGTATTTAACAGTGAAATTGTTCTGTGTGAAATAACTAAACAAAGTCCTGTGTTGTAGCCATCACAAGCATAACTCCTGGTAACGATTACGTAAAAGATTACAGAGGTTTGCTACTAATAAATACAATTTAATGGAGAAACAAATTCAAAACCTTAACGCATAGTTTTGTAACTAGTATGAGTCGTATCTTGGCGTTTCTGTAAACCTTTTTGTGACCTTCTGGTTGCTAGACTTTGCCTTTTCTTTGAAGTGGAAACTTGTTTGACTGGGGACTTGAAACATTGAAGTGACATGGAACACTGACATTGCCACTTCAAAGTAAAGGCTAACCATCTAGGAATCAGATCACAAAGCCAAGGTTGAAATGGAAATAACCAAGATATGAAATCCACCATAAACTTAAACAGACTAATGAACAATTTTTGTCTGACGAATCTCTTTGAAATACTATAGTGATTAACTGCACAAACCTAAATTCTAAAATACAAAATTTTTGAAATTTGTTTGCTGTGGCTATTTGGAAGTTGTTGACGTAAGAAATGTGTGTTTAGTGGAAATATACATAGAAATGTATATACTTAAACCTTTTTTTACTAAAAAGTATGTATCACTGAATTAGTATAAAATAACATAGTATTTGAAAAAAAAAAGCTAGAAAAACATTCATTTTTGTATTTAGCTCCATGGAAAATACCATTATTCAAGGGATAAAACTTTTCCGATGAAACGTGAAAGGTGGATTTACATTTTTGTGAAACCAACCTAAGTTCCTTATTTTAAAGCTACATCTGGTCTGCCTAGATTTACTAAATACTTAGGAAAAGCTTTGGACAATAATTAAGGTACAGAATACAGACACCAGAAATCTGTTTATCCTAAAGCCTTGTTTTATTAACTGAATGTTGTAATTTGTTGCTATGATTTTTAATTCCAAATCATCTGTCTTCACAATCAACAATCTTCATACCATGGTGATAAGTGTTTAAAATAATGTATACCTTATCAAAATGTGTTTGAATGCAGTGGAAGGGCTGAAAGAGTAAAATGTAAATCATTCCTGATACTTAAATATTATAGAAAAATTTGGGACCAAGTGTGCGGAAAGAAAGGTGCAGACATTGTAAAGAGATTTGCCGGTGAAGGTGACTGACTTCCACTTCCGATTCCTCCAAGAACCCTAACTACCTTACGCCCCAGTAAAGAAATGTGTTAATAAGGATTTTTTTCATTTTTAGAGTGCTTGAAACTACAATTAAACCCAATAACAATGAACCGTAAAACTTAAAACACCATGGTTTAGTAAGAGTACAAAATATTTACATTTTGAGTAAATTCTTGAAAATATTGGTCACAAAAAAATAAATCTGTTTAAGAAACTGAATTCAAAGCAAATAAAGAATGGTTGGCATTGAACATTCAACTTTGGTCGATGCGCTGTTAAAGGTGGATAGACCTGTTTTCTCAGACAAGTGGTAAATTTATGAACAGTAAATCAAATGTTTCAATTAAAAAAAGACAAAAAAAGGTTTTGTCAGATTAATATTTTGGTGGGTAAATTTGTCCATACCTTTTGTGGGGGTATGATAGTAAATGTGGTTTAGTGACTGCACCTAACCCTTCAGAGTTTACCCCAAAAGTAGTGGTAAGAAAGGTTAGAAAGTGCAGAAAAAATTGAGAGAATCATTGTTTACAAACAAACAATGATACAAGTTACACTGTTTCTAATGATGAATCATAGCACTTTCAACCGCTTCAACTTGAGACAATCTGGATAATGTGATACAGGCCACTCGTAAGTCGTAATGACCATAATCCTCGTCATAATTGGCTCACATCGATTTAATCCAACCATTCTTTAAGAATAAATAAACAAAACAGTGGCTTAGCTTCAATCGTTTGGAAACCCAAACTTATGTATCTCAAACATAAACTAAACGCAACCAATTTTCCTTTACCCTTAGTTGATTTTGAATAACAAACGCAAGTGGAAGTCAGAAGATGGTGAGATGAAGGAAATCTAACTTACAAGAGGGTTTCCCCAGTACCAAGACTTGACTTTCTGCGTCCAGCCTCCCAACTGAGACTTGAGCCCTTCCAGGTAGCCGCACTGAAACCATAGCCTCTCATTTGCTTCCCCTCCCACGGAACATCTACCTTACGCTATAGACCAGACATCCAGAGAGTAAGAGGTTTCTTAGAACTCTGCTCATACTTCCAACCCACTGGCTTTGACTATAGATACAACTCGACATTCTATTCCCATGTTAAAGTTGTAGACAAGTCTTAGGATGAAAATGAACAAAGTTCGATTGAGCCACAACCACAACAGGGTGTTCTAGTTCCTGTTACCACGGCAACACTTTAATCGAGTCTAACTGATATGATAGCTTCTTGTGTTACATCACAGAGAAGTAAGATATAGAGGAAACACTCTTATGGAACAACTGTGCGCTTTTAGCTCGGGAATGGTGGAATGGAAATATACTAGTACCGAGCAAGGAAGAGCCCGAACGGCTATTGTTTAAAACAGCAGTTGTAGCGCACAGACTCTTCCTACAGCATGAGCGTTGTAGTATGTGATAGTGAGGAGGAGGAAAAGGAGATGGGAAGGGGACAACCAATAGAATTTACACTAGACACACGCGACTGGTGCTAGACACTACTTAAGTGTACCATTGAATGTATCCTTTTTATCTTACTTCTCTGTGGTTTCATCAACTATCACAGTAAAAGAAACTAAGGGAGGAAATATAATTTGAGACTGAAGTACAATCTGTGAGTGGCTCATTCAACTGTGCTCTTTTTAATAACAAATTGGCTACAGCTTGTGCCTAAGAAATGTCTACTTCAATGCCACTAGCCATAGCAAATAATGCTCACCTTTAGGTGCTGAACACAGGTCTTATGTGTTATAAATTTTAGTTTTCAATCGTACTTCAAAGTCTAAAGTAATTGATAAGTCTACTTTGAGAAATGCTGTTACTTAATGGCCTAGAAATCATGTTAAGGGTGGTAATTTTAAAATTAAGAATTTTAATCATAATTTAACTTATTTTTTTCAAACATCCTAGACATAAAAATTTCACCGAGAGTACTTGGATTTTTAATTTTTTTTTCAGGCGGCTATAGTACTGGTAGGTTACTTGTTGGGAAGAATGGATGAAGTTCTAGAAAGATCTAATGTCCTGGATATCATGTTTAGCGAACCATAAATATACTAACCCTTCACCACTATAGAAACTGCAGGATTTCCCACAAATTAATTTACTTGTAGTTCTAATGACTGAATTATCATCCAAGACTTGTGTTTTATATATTTAATTTCAAACTATCTGTTTGAGAATGTCCCCCTTAATAGTTTTATCTGGTTAGGACACCAAGATGTTTGGGCAGCCATTGTCAAATAAAGCAATATGAACATTGGATGGCTAATCAGCAACACTCTAATCACAGTCTTTAATAACTGGGCAACATTCTTCAGCTTATGGTGATTTCCCAAAAAAATCATTTTTGATTGTACATGACACCATACATTTTAACTTCATTTGTAGCCAAAACAAAACAATATCAATAGAAATTGTTTACACACAATAATTGGTTCTAACCTAAGCTCATGAGAGAATTAAACTCCCTCAGCAGTTTGACACTACTAACTGGCAGAAACAATTACTGTAATGGAACTGTTGGGATAAACTGCTACAATTATCATCTAAGGATTAAACTATTGTTCTATCGTTCTATGTATGTCTATGAAAACACATGTATCTAAGGAAACTCGATCCTTAAAAGGGGAATGAAACCTTATATAAATACTCTATATGACTAATTCTAGAAGACATTCATCTAAATTACTTAACTTTATTAGAGGTAAACATATTTCTAAACACCCATTACTCTACATCTCAAACACTGTACGGATAAAACTAATTCAACACAAAAACTTATACTATGTAGTTGATGCAATTAACTAATAAATGATTGATATATTCCATGGTATTAGAATGTTTAGGGTGGCTAAATAGGTACTTCAATGTTCAAACAGGTTCTATGTTTCATATAGTTTGCCACACAATGCAGCTAATTTAATAAAATATTAGATTCAAGCTTTTAAACAATAAAAAACCGACAACAAATTTAAAAGACACTTTTAGAATGTAGTTTTATCTAACTAGTAATTAGAGGGATTTATGTCTTAGAAACCCCACAATTAATTTTTAAAATGTGTCATCCCCATACAATCTAATTAATGTTACATAATACTGGAGCTTGAAATCGATAACAAATTAAAATCAGAAAAACAATACAGTTGTATACGCTTCCATCGATTTACTATTCTGTGCACTCAGCATTGCTTTGTTCTAGTCAGCAATAACATTCCAAACATTATTGCTACTGTCCACACGCCACACGAGGTATTCCAAATACGACAAAAATGTGCCAAATTTATACACCTAAACGGAGTAAAAAATTGGCCATTTAAAACTGACCTTACCCGGCCCATTCATCCATTGAAGTTTATGAACCATCAAGGCTTGATTTCTCAAGGTTGAAATCAACATTGTGGTGTAATTTAATTAAGGATCGAAATATAATATAGTCTTAGTAGTTCAAATAATGAGAAATAAACCAACAAACCTTTGTGAATTGGAAAAACATCCAAACCGGAGGAGTAATCAGGAAAGGATTTTCTATTGGGGGGGGGATTTATTGGTAGGTCTGGTAAAAGGAGAATAGCCAAAGAAATTTTGTTAATGGACCACCATATAACCTTTTATGCTCAAGTTAAAATGAGTAAAATTATATTAAATAAATGTTGTAGTTGTACCATCGAAAATCGCCTAATCGAAGTCTAAGCTGAATTAAACTGTAATTAATCTATTTCAGATTTCAAATCCGCATAATAAATGGTCAATCCCACTGATTAGTAGTATAGATGTGTAGTAGTATGATATGTAGCAAAAATTTACTACTGAGGGTTAATCAAACTTATATAGCAAGGTTAGTTTAAAAATAAGTTAACTATCACCGGAAGAGTATAAAATACTGCTTTCAAATTCCTTAAAAATGTCAATTTCCATCTTATTCTTATAGACTAACTAACGTGAATGTAAATTAATTAAATGGGTGTTAATGAAATTACCTAGAACAGTATGTCATCACTAGGATTTAAAGTGACTTTCTAGCCAAGGCAAACAACTTATTGTAACTTAAAGCATGTTATATTCCATAATAACAACGTTTTAAAAAAGATAACCAATTTTGTCAGCAACCCAGTATGTGACTGGTTCATTTAACTACTACTATTTTTATAAAATATGCTACAACTGGCCCAGATAGATGAGATGACTAGCTACTTGAGAACCCAGTGTCTATCTATCCAATAAATAATGCTCGATGATCAATTTGAGCGAAACAATTGAGTGATTGAGTGTTCGTAGTAAGTGTGTACCTAACTAAACTACCTCACACCATTGATTATTGTATAATCACCGGTATTTATGCTAGAATGTATACATAGTCAATGCTCATACTCTTCCGCGGTCTTTTAAAAGCACGGGCAAAGCAAGAAGCGAATGAATGAAATGCACTTTTTACCAGAAGAATATTAAAAGATACAAATCAGCATTTCTGTGGTGACCCGGACGACCTACAGCGCAGAAGACGCTAGAGGCGAGGAAGAAGCGGCGCGCTATAATGACAGAACCTCCGTCCAAATAAACAAGCGCTATATTTCCCCGATAAAGATCTAAATTGGGCGAAACTGCTGCGAGATTTACTATGTCCCACCCACGTCGGCCACCGCTGCGGCGGTAGCTGACCACGTACAAGGGTGATGGTGTGACATGGACATACCTAGCGGTAGAGTCACCTCACCACCAGCTGTGTTCTCCTAGGACGCTAGGATCAGGCCAGAAATTGTTTTATAAAACCTTCAAACATAACAAGGCCTAAAGGAGCACGGTATTATTATAGCTAAAGTAACTGGTACTTGATGGGATTTGAACCCAGGGCCACAAAACTAATACACAACTAGTTCCCTATTCACATAAGATTATACCATGAATGTTAGAAAAGAAGTATGGATCATAAACGTAAACAAATTAATGACGTTCCTGGCCTGGATCATATAGGCCTACCCACGGAATATGACTAGTCACGTGAGTCATGGTTGTGTTGGTTACTCTTGATTTTGTAATTATAAATGTAACACCAGGTTTGGAAGTTATGTGACAGTTCCTTTTAGCGAATTTCCCAATTGAAGGGAATAAGCTCTTCAATAATAGTACAATCATGTTTACCCTCGGGTCAGTGACGTCATTCGTTTATGATCTGTATTATGCTTATATGACAATGACACAAATCGGAGCGCATTTTAGGGCAAGTCGAGTGCATTATGAATGTTGAATGAATGATATTACGGATTTGCTAATGATTAACATAGACCTGTTCTTTAGCTAGGACCATTTGTTAAGATCCCAATGATCAAGTACAGCTGGGTCCGAGTTTAAAACATCAAACAGCGTCTGATTTTTCTTTAGAGTTGGACCGTTAGTCAGAAGGTATAATTGGTTTAACCTTGAGAAACTCAGAATATTATTATGTAATCATAAGGTGAGTATTATATAGGCCTACACTCCACACGGCTTCGGCTACTCATTTCTTCTAGGAGAATCGGGGATTATCGGATTTCCAGGGGGGGGGGGAATGAAAACGGATGGTTTCTATAAGATTTCTTTGGCCAGTTGGTGCTCCGTTTCAGCTTTAAATAGCTGCGACATTTTGTACAGGTAGCATCATTGTAGCGACATGATTACATCCTTTGTCTTTTATTATGTACATAAGAATCTCACTTTAACCTCGGAGCTCTCGTCCCTACAAAATTCTGCTCAGTCTTAGAAGATTGGACAAATGGGTTGGTGTTTTCAATGTGTGGCCCTATTTTCCCCATAACATTTCATAATTTTTTTGTTTGAATTTTGTTTAATGCGCTGTTGGTTTCTAGTTTCAATCTAATAATATAAAGCACTTTTAAACATCCACTTCACCTTGACGGCCGACAGAACTTATTCTTTTTTAAGTTTGCCAGTGTTTGGGTTTTAGCTTTTATTAATTTTGCTACCTAAACTCTGTTGAGGAAAAACTATACCAACAACCGCACTGCAACAACACACCATAAAATATTTAACTCTAAAAATGAACGTGCAAATTTGAAATACCAGGAGGGCAGAAGATAATGAGACTATAAGTGGGGAGGTGAATAGAAATGTACCTAAACTCTGGATTAGACTTAGGAATTATTCATACCCAGGACGACTGTGGTGATTTATAAGACAAAACTAAGTATTCTGATCACGCAATGCGAGTTTAGGGGCAGAAAAAGGTCAAGCGTGAGCGTGGACTTATAGAAAGTAGGTTTGTATGTCTCCTCAGACCTAAACGTAGAATAATACAACTTCGCGTAGAAATCGTAGAAGATACAATAGATATTTTTCTGGCTCATGCCACAGAAAACATACTACTATAACCTTCACGCTCCCAAATTTAACGGGTTTTAACGAAAATCCCCGATTTCTTCTACCAAACTGCGTAACATAGCAATGGGTACTGGGTGCATAGTAGTGTGGTGATGATAGCTCTCCTCCAAAACTATAGTTAAGATAAATAGGCTTGATGTTGCATTACTATGCCCTGAAACACGGATTTTCCAACTCTTAAGGAATGGGTTACAGTACTAATACTCGCCACTGAAGGTTGCTGGATCAATCTGGAATTTTGTCCCAAATGCATTTATCATGTGCTATCAATTGATGCTACTAAAAAGTGTGACTTTACATAATATGAGGACAAGGATTTGAACACTTGACTTCTAACACTTATAACGGGGTAGGAAAACACAAAAAATTGAAAACCAAATCTGCCCATCTGCCAACGCAAAGCATGTTTATACTTTCCAGCTAGATTAGTCGTTTTCCTATTTATGCACATGACAGCACCCATACAAGGTCTCGTATTGTTCTGTACAATGACAATGTGACTAGTTGCTACAACTCTACAACCGTGGCAATAGAACACCAGTTATAACCTTGACAAAGTAGTACACGGCATACAACAGTAGAATGATCTGAATGGAACCATCACGGTGTCGTGAGAAGTAAAACACTATAGAGGAAAAGGATTGACTTCTACCCAGGAATAATCGAACAAGTCAAGAGAAGCTTAGGTACTATGGAAATAAGAAAAAAAACTACTTTTATCCAGCAATAGTTAATCGTTCTTCGGTTCAGAAAAACGTAACATGATCAAGCTACCACACAATGTTGGATTTGTGAACTTCTGTAGTGACTAAGTTGTTTTTCCAATGATATAGATTTTTTTATTTGTTGAGGTACGTAGTATTAAGTGGGTAATTAATGTTTTAACAGACCGCCGTTTTTAATTGAATAGACTTCTTACTGCTGGCTTCTTTTCTCATCTTCAGATAAGGATAATTATGCCAAATAATCAGACATGCGCATTTATGCATAAGGGTGCTAAATTACCGGCAGGTAGATATTAAAGTATGTATAATATATTTAAAATATTCAATATCAATCTGCAATAAACAATTTGTGCAATGTCAAGTCCTCACAACATCAACATCGGCGGCCGGTAAGATCTTGGAAACAATAACTTGACAGACGAACAGAATGGATTGTCGGAAAGTATCGGTACTCGGCAGGTAAAGTGTGTTGTACTCCAGGATGTGTGGAGGTAGAGGAGCTGGAGTCAAAGTAACGGACAGATATCCGTGTCGCGAAACTCCACGCGGTGTTCCTAATTATGACGAAGAACGGATTAGAATTGCCCCTCGTTGCGGGATGTCCCGGAGCGTGCACGGAACGTAGAGGTAGAAGTGAGATTTTTCTCACCAAAATTTTGGATTCGGTTTCCAAATTTTCCAAAAGTAATGTGGAAAGGTTTATAAACATAAACTATTAGTAAACATAGCAAATATGAAGAAACTGTTGCATGCCTATAGTTTTCTTCACGATTGAAATCTGTGGGTCTTCGACTGTGGTTTATACTTATCGTGTGTATCTATACAAATCAGAAGAAAAAGTATTAAAATAGTAATACCGGAGTGCTTGTTGGAATTTAATTCACCTTATTATCATTACAATGAGACAAGGTCAAAATTCTGTGCATTTTTTGCACAGTACGAGTCAAGGGTGAGTTAAGAATGTACCGTAGTGAGTTGTTTTTCAAGTTTTGTAAGTAAAGTGAAAAATGACTTTCTGTTTCTTCTATCATTTAGATGGCTTGCCTCCTTAGTACAGATGGCGAAGTCACTCTAGGGGGTTTCGATAGGAGGTAGGGTCAACTCCATAGCTGCCCCAAACTCCTATAACTTCTAGGTGGGTCAGATTTTTCTGACACACGCTCCCAAATAGCAAAAAGGTTAGTTAAGAATGATTTCATTAGAAATATGTAGAATGTAGGTACTGTATTCTGATTGAATACTCGTATTCTAATTGTTTTTGATATTATCATAACAAACCTGACCTCATGACCCAACTTGCATTTTAGTGAACTGGAGACAGTTATCAGATTTTAACCAGGGAGATTTTAACCAGGGAATCCTTTGGTCTTCAATATACTGGGTAGGGCCTACCTTGTGATGATGACAATGTAAGCACACTATCAAAAGCGCTTGCTCAAGCATAGCCTCAGTAAAAGCGGCTGGTTGAACGGACACAGACTCATCGAATATCATTGTCATCACCAAGATAAATACGAGGATGTGAAGGGTACTCCTGACGAAAGTCAAGGGGTCAAAGGTCTACCTCGGATGGACCAGCACAGGTTGGATCAATATGAAATTTTAAGAAGGCTTTTACACTCACTTTCAGTAAGCCAAGTAAACGTTTAACATAATGTAAATAATAATTCCTGTTTTACATCTACGCAAGTAAAAAATAAATCAGCCGGTACAGATATTTACCATCAAGAAAGGTAATTCTCAAATTCTTGCCCTTTAGAAAGTTGGAAAGAACCACCAAACCCCTTCTATCAACTGCCATGAGACGACAACCCCCAGCGACCAAAAACCTTCAACTCGCCAGGGACCATCTGAACAGTGAACAGTCGTGCAAATTGACAATCAACGAGGAAATTAGGATGAAGATGAGTGCCTAATGACGAACAACCAGCCAACGAACAAGAACAAGCCAGGCCTACCAACTACCAGAATGTAAACACTGCCAACCTAGCCGCACAAAAACTCAGTCGTGCTGCCCCATATCCTCTCTAGGTGTAAACAAAGCGGTATGAATGGAGGGAGTGAAGGCCCCATTGATACCGTAGGTTGGTAGACCTGGTCGGTTCGGTTCAGTCGTTCAGTACAGTCCTACAGTCAGTGAGTCAGTACTCCAGTAGATGGCCGGAGTTGGTAGTGGTAACACTGGTACGTCTGCCGTGACAGCTACTCAGTACACATCTGGTAAGTAACACCTCTTAGATTACATACCTAAGCTAGTTATCTAGCATTTAACCAATTGTTTTTAGTTTTTACAGAAATAAATTTATTAATGAAATAGTTGGATCTAATTGTAATGAATCGAATCTTAGTTTGGTGGTTCAGTTCTCAATTTGTAATTATTTGGTAGTTTGAGTGATATTTAGACCCCTTAGTGGATGTATAAGTTAGCTAAATAGTTTAAAATGTACTATTCTTATAGTTGTTCCAGGGTGCGTGTTTTAAGCATATGAGTGAAGGTAACACCAAACTCAATTCCTTGGCCAGGGCCATAAGCCCGCCATATATAACAAAACAATAATCACAGACAGCTGGGTCCAGTTTCAAATCATCAAAAAACTTTAAAAATTTTTAAAGGAGTTCTTTGCTTAGAATTAAAGATAAATTGCTTGTTCTCGGAGACGAACAGGTAACGATTCAGATTTATGGATCTGATTTTGTTACAGTATCAGTTATCTTCATTATATTTTAATAAATAAAATACTATACATTGGTTCTTTCGGATAAGTTTGGAAAACGTTTTAAGTATCTAACTAAGCATAACGAACGCTATTGACACCGATGAAACTATCCATGAAAATGTTTCAAACGTTAAAGCACTCCTGTTTAATGGCATCACAGGCACTTGGTTTGACGGTTATCTTATCTTAAATACCTGTTATCATACCTACAGAAAGTTTAAGAATATGTAGTCTATTAGATATTTTCCAATAATTATTTAGTGTTTAGTTTATCAAGCTCGTTGGAAAATGCAATGACATTGAACCTCCAATAACTATTTTTCCGAAAATGATCAAAGGATTGACTAAATACTTCTCGCCCATTAATAATCATTCCAAATTAAAATCTACTTTTACATAAATATTCGGCGGAAATAATGTCGTTTTTGATACCCTATAATGTTTTAATTTTGTTTATCCTCACAAAAGTAAGTGTAATCGAACGCTTGTGTTCGTATTTCTACGTCAAAAGCGCCTTTTGATAATGACGTAAGTTCTTCCTATCCCCTTAGTTGATCATTATAATGCTTTGATAGAAAACACCCAATAATAAATTTGCTTTTTGATAAAAGTATAGCATCCTCTTGCTACACATAAAGCGGTGTTACAACGGATCTACTGTTTATAGTCTTTTAACGATTATTTGTGTCGTAAGCACCTTAAAGAATACGTTTTGATATAACTCAAATCCCTTGCAAATTGGGCAATAGTGCTGGAATACAATGCAGCCAGGCAATCTTGGCCATGAGTAGGAACAATAGTTTTGGCTTCTTTATGTTTTCATATTACCACCACAACCACCGTTTATTATAATCGTTGACCTGGATACTATTAGTAAATTTATTTTTCTATTGTGATACCGTATTTAAATTCCATTTTGATGTGTGTTAATACGTTTTCACTGATGTCAAATAAATAGGTTGTGTACATTTTATACACCAAAAAATTACCCGGGTAGGTGGTACACTTAAACCTACCCTGAAGTGGTATAAACCTTTAAATAGGCCTACTACAGGGCAGCCAGCATTTCATTTGTTCATATTTTTATTTCGAAACAAGTTTCGAGTATACTCGAAATAGCAAGAACTAAATAAGAAAAAGCATGACGCTACACCGGACACGCAAGTACCTTAAAATTCACTTAAGCTGATTCATAAAACGGAATGTTTATTTATACAAAAAAGTGGATAGAATAGACACATTGTTTCTTAACAGACATTAGAAAATAATTTCGTCCCTGCACGCTTTTTCTAATGTAATGTTGACAAACATAACTTCACCAGTCTTCAACAGCTGATCACCCAAAGAGAGAGAGAGAGAAATAGTAATGGCCATGACCAATGTCAGACCTTGTGATTGTTTCTATCAAACTCTGACATTAGATTCGCTACTTTTCACTTTCCAACGGGAACGACAAAACGAGTAAAAGTGAAACCATTTTGTGCTATTGTATTGTGATAGCTCTTTGTTGTGGTAAACCTGTACTTGTTAGCAAGAAACATCGAGAGAACAAGTTTTACATCAACGCTCGTTTAAAGTTTTCACTAATGGCGACAAAGTGGATATAAAATTATCTGAAATTATATTGGCCGTGTGACGTATCTTTTTTTACTGACATCAGTTGAACGTCGGAGTGATAAGCAGCGTTTGGATTGGGTGTTATTCTTTTTTGACGTTGCATGAAAAGGGAGTTTTATGAAAATAGTATGTACGAGTTGACGCTCGAATGATATGAATATTAAGAGCATTTATTTGTTTGATTTTTGAATTGTGGGATAGAGCACTAATACAGAAATACTACTGATTGTTTTAGCTTAGTAAGCAAATATTTTCAAAAATTAAATTTACGAGGTAACGATGTTGAAAAGTACCACTTTGTGATAGTATTAAACCTTTACGTTTACGCTCTTTCCAATATTTGGGGAAAAATAATGGAAACCACCGAAGTACTTTATGATGAATTAAACTAATTAAAATCTATGTTTTGTCAGATTTTCCAGTTTTTTTTATAGGTAATGTGATTTGAAAGTAATAATCCCTCAGATATTGTTTGGACTATGATGTATGCGATACTAGAACTACGATTTTAAAGACTTTAACAGAAGGTATTAGTGGTGCCGAGGATATCTAGTAAACACGCACTCACACAAACACATTTCACTACACATTAGTACACTAGTAGTAGGTATGTGTCAGCGGTCGTCGGTTCTGGATCGAATGAAGTAGTAGTATCGAATGAAGTAGTAGTATCGGATGAAGTAGTAGTATCGAATGAAGTAGTAGTATCGGATGAAGTAGTAGTATCGAATGAAGTAGTAGGTATGTGTCATCGGTCGTCGGTTCTGGATCGAATGAAGTAGTAGTATCGAATGAAGTAGTAGGTATGTGTCTGCGGTCGTCGGTTCTGGATCGAATGAAGTAGTAGTATCGAATGAAGTAGTAGGTATGTGTCAGCGGTCGTCGGTTCTGGATCGAATGAATCAACGGCCAAGCCGATTTTGGTCCATATCATGCCGGATTGTTATTTGTTGGTGTGCAACAGTGACACATTTCTGGGAAACAATATTTATGTCCGTTAATCGTTAATGCCTTATGAGGAAATTAGGACGATTACTCGTTTGTACGGTACCTCATATTGCATTTAGAAAATGAGAAGTACACTAGTCCAGGTTTGTCTAGGTCAGGGCATTGTTCACATTTAATAGTGTATAACCTAAAAATAAAGTTGCCCGGGGTGAAACCGATCTGATCAATTTTTACTGAAAAGCATAGTTTGAACCCCTTTTTAACACCAATTAATAATGTGGCATAATGTCAAAAACTGTTTATTTGGAATCCACAAAAAATAATATACAATAGTATGCTTGCTCTTTACCAAAACCACTGAAAGAGTTCCGCCTGTTGAGGGACTATGTGCTTACAGTCTGTGGTAGCCTATAGACATTCTTTAATTCAAAATTGTTGTATACAGATATTTTTAATTGTGTAAAACAATGAAACTCGTTAGCACTTAAAGTCTCGTATAGAGCTTGTCTAATGATGTAATTGGACATAATTTATGATTTATACTGAGTCTTCATGCTTACTCATCCAGCCCTGAACAGGCAATAACATCAGCGTGGCCTTCAATCGTCGAGTACCGCATAGTATCATGTATTAATTTTGACATTAGAGTTGCTTACGGAACTATGAACAGTTTAGTAAAATAAGATTGGATTTTTTAATGCTCAAAACGCTAATGCTCTCTGCGAACTCAGTGATGTAGGCCAATAGGTCGTGACATGAATTAAACATAAAGCAATACCGAATGATTTATTACTGCCAATAGACTATTCATTGAAATTTTCACACAAAAAACGACCAATTAATACTTTTCTCTTTGGCAGAATTGTGATCGATTAATCTTTATTATCACAAAATTCATGCTGGACTATTAAATATAGATGAATATATGTTTCTTCGGTTCGTATATGTATTTTTTTAGAATCTCAATACTTGCTTTAACAGAACAATTGATCATATATTAAATTAAACTTTACACCTTTTTAGTGCTTTAAGAAATTCTACGAGAGTCGTTAACACTATTTACGCGAGTTGCGTACACTACTTTACCTACGACAGTGTTTTAATTACTAAAAAATCACTACTCATAACTTCTAAGAGAGGTTATGTTTTTGTTTATAATCTCTCATTGCCACTGACAGTAATGCAACGAAACAATGTACCAAACACCAATTGTACCACTCAACAATTAAATTGGCCTGAACAGCTGATAAAAGTTCAAATCATTACAATTTTACTTCTTCTCTCTCAATCCTTGAACCTCATTGGTACGTTACCCGTGTTGTTATCAGTAAAACTATGCTGTTATGAAAGTAAACAATGCTGTTATGTGAAACTTATCAATTCTAAGAACTGAACTGAACCGGCTACTTTAAAAAACTGTCGTAGGTAAAAAAATATCAATACTATATTCATTTAGGGAGCAAAGCTAGGTTAAGAGGAACCTCTGTATATCACTTTTTTAATAATTGATAAATATGTCTAAAAGATCTACATGTAATATATCACCGATAATTCCTTTAAAAATGCGTTTAATGTTTGAACCATTTATTTGTTGACCCTTGCAAAGATTAACTTGGATGGTAAATCAATGTACTACATAAATAATGTGATAATACATAGGCTAATGTTTGTATCAAAGATTACATTCCACCTGGAACGAACGATTGATCTGAAACGGTGAGAGGATTGCACTGCAATCATATACAAAAAAATAGGCATATCCTTCATCGTGTAACAAAATACATAAAAAATAACAGTCTAGCTTGCGACATATGGAATTCAGCACTTAAACACTGTTGTAGTCGCCATTTGCGGCGATCTACCATTTGTACTGCCGGACGCATTTACAGCCCAATATAATCGGCGCTTTGTAACGGGACAATGATTGGCTATAAATCG